CTAAGGTTTAACAATTCAAGGAAAGGCCTGACTGGGGCTGCGTAATCTCGTTCGTATTGTTTGATTGATGAGCTTAATCTTACATGAAGTGCGATCGCGAGTGAAGCTAGTATGTCTCGTGGACTTATTCAGTCTGAACGTCGTATTAAAGCCAAACGGCTACAGTGCAATGGAAATAACCTGTCATCTTTTGGTGAGATTTACTTTCGAATCTCCTCGTCCTGCACTTTAATACGAAATAAAAGTCTCCCAACAATCGTATCTCATGAGATTTATCGAAATCCAGTTACTCTTTGTATATTTTATAAGATTTTTTTGCCTAGAGCATTTCACTTCCACCCCTAAGTAATATGCTTAAATAAATCGGGCTGCTATAAGGTTTTGCGTTCATGTCGTAAAGTCTATATGGTGCAGACCTGTCGACCCATGCATAAGAAGTTATCTGAATATAAATCAATCTGCAAAGGTTTGTGAGTCTAGAGGTGAGAACTGGCCGAACACAGGACACCAAGTTCGTTTAAGGTCAATCGCTTGTATTACTTCTAGTGGGTATCCGTTGCCGAGAAATATCCGGGTCATATTTTCCCATTATTCATTTTAGAATCCCACTTCCGTTAATCGTGTCTTGCTCATGACCGTGCTCCTCAGTATCCCTATCTTCACTCGGTAGTTGTGATGAGACTCGAAATTGAATATTATTCCGGAATATGACTTCTTCCTCAACAACGTTTTTTTGAGTGTCCCATTAGAGCGAATAAATCTAGAAAAGCTAAACGCCCCTCATCCTCTACATCCATTGTGATCTTGATTCTTTTATCAATCAGGTTTATAAACTTAGGAAATCATTTAATTTTTCTCTTCCATGCGACCAAATTGCGAAGTGGTCATCAAGGTACCCCATAAGAATTCTTGGTTGCAGCGGTGACGTCTTGAAATTCTCTTCTAATTTGTTCATTTATACATTTGCCGATAGAGATGAAAGCGGCGATCCAACAGAAAGTCCAAATGTATGTTCACACATGTTGCCGTTGAATGTGAAGTAGGTAGACCCTATTACCATGTTGATACTCTGCTTCTAGGATATCCTTTTCTCGATCCAAAATATCTACCACGTAAGGTTCAATTTATCTTCATAGCTGGGTCCTTTAGTACATGATCTTATTCCGTTCGTTGTACTGATCAGTAGGTGTTGTCTTAGTGTGCCTTGGCAGCTCTTTCAATTGAGCGTGACCCTTGACGGTCACATGACTAAGGGCTGTTTGTACTGCCTTTTAATGCTGCCTTAAGATTGTGGCGATGCTAGCATTTCAGCATTCGCCTATTACCTCTGTCTTTTTAATCTAAACTTTGTATTTCAAGGAGTAGTTTGATCTCGTTTTCGCCTTGATGCACACACCTTGTCCGGAGTCCTATGTCATGAGAGTCATTAATTCCCATCGCCTGACACTAGAAATTATTCGGACAAGATGTGTTAATCTAGGTCACTCTGGCAACACAATCCAGTTGAAAAAACGAAATCAAACCACTTCAACATGGAAAATAAAATATAGATTAAACCATCTTGCTCTTTATACCCTCGGTTTATAATTTAACCCCTCTTTTATCGTCAGCTCTCTTGATTTCTGGCATTCGTCGGCATTACTCTGTGGACCACCTCCCAGAGTCGACTGAAATGAAACGTCTAAATTCTTTCCTTACCCGATCGATCATCATTCCTCCTTCTCTTGTCCGTCTCGCCTTGATGAATTCGGCTCTCTGGCTCCCGCATCTAAGCGCCCTTGATCAGGGCGCTGGACTCGCACAAGTAGACGCTGCATTCGCCTTTTTATTGCGTGCAGTCGACTATGAGTTGGCTATCGAGACCAGTGAAACAAAAACACATGTTCCTGCCTTATCCCTTTTGGATAGGTTGGACCGTGTCAGGCGAAGGCAAGTTGTTATTTATTCTATAGGAGATAGTTGATCGAATTTACTTTATTCCAATTTATTTTATAGCTAATTCTGAAATACTGTTATTTATTTGTCCATAGAATATAACTTGCTTGATTGGAGAGGAAGTAGTCATGAATACTAAGATGAATTGGCTTCACTGGGACTCTCTTTAACTTATTTTCCTGATTTCTGATGGTAGCTTTCTTATGTGCGTTCAGGCATTTATTCCAATGAGGATTTGCTATGCTCCGCGTATCTAGCAGAATCAAGTTTAGAGGTTGTTTGACCTTGTTTTCGCAACATGGTCATATTGGTAGGAAGACTCATTGGAACGCAC